AACCTCATTTTGAGGAGGGAAGCTATAGGTTAAGGAAGTGGTTGCCTCTTTGAGAGGCAATGAGTTCCTGCAGCTCTGTAAGGAACAGAGCTTTGGGCTGACTGACCAGGGCCTGGAAGGCCACTTTTGGAAGAGCTGTGGCTCAGCGAGTGCATCCTGGGCCCTGGGCTCCAGGGTGTGCTGGCCTGCAGAGGCCCCCAGCACCTTTTCAGGGAAATGAGTCTGTTCAATGTTGTACCCAGAAAGGTTATACCTAGGAATGACATTAGGTACCCACTCATTCTTTAAGCAGATTTTAAAAATTGCCCAAGTAACACGTGGTTTGCTGTACAGATGATTCACACTGAAAAGTAGTCTGTAAGTACAATGTAAAATTCATCTTTGTCTTCTGCACCTGCCAAGGCACCAGCCACCAGCAGCTGGCTCGCAGACCTTGCCATCCACATCTACAAGCAGTGTGCCCTGTATGGGAGGGGAACAATACTGTGCTTTTTAACCAAATCGAGAGCATTTCATACATACTATTTTGTATCTTACTTTCTTTCCAACTGAAGATGTCACAGATCCTGTTCAGTAGCAGCAAACGTGGGATGCTCTCATTCCTTCAGCAGCTCTCACGGATGCCCAGGTGATTTGCCGGGTCTTGCTGGGTGCATGCTGCTCTGTATAGCTGTGGCCTAACTGATGATCACTAAAGTGATGTCTCCCTTTTGCAGATGGCACAATGGGAGCCATCTTTCCACCTGTAAATGTATTCCCCCATCTCCATTCCGAAACAGGCACACTAGGTGCTAGGTGTGGAACTGCAGGTGCAGACCATTTGTGATTTTCCTGTAGCTGCTGCCACTGCCCTCCACCCACAGTGTGAGCCAGGCTGTTTTTCACTCTCCCAAGCTAGATACTGCCAGTCATCTCTTACTTACACTGAAATGACAAGTACAAGATAGCATCTTTAAACATACAGTTCTCTTCTTGTCACTTCTCTGGCTCTGGGCTAGGCCTCCACCCACCAGCTTCTTGAGTTATCAGTTCTCCTCCCTGTCCCTGTATCCCCAGCACAGCATTCACTGTTCCAATCCATGAGGAAAAGCTGTCTGGTTTTGGTTTCCGGGACAGAGGAAGCTGACCTGCAGCGTGTGCCCAGCACATGTGTCTGGGACCTGCTCCATGTTCTGGGTTTGACGAGGCTGTATGCTTCTTCTGATCCTCTCCTCTGCTGAGATGATTAGGGTGTGGGCCCCTGTCATCATGTGGCTTCAGAAGGGAGCTCGAATTCCATTCCCTCCATGAGAGCTGTGCTTCCAGGCTCTCGGTCGCACCCAGCTCTGCTGAAGTGCCAGGCAGCTGTGACCAAGGAGCCCTCTGCCAACTCTGAGATGTGCCCTACCTTTAGTGGGAACGGGAACAGCCCTTGACCAGCCCACCACGCCAGATTCCTCATGGCCATCAGTGCACAGGCACGGGACAGCCAGATAGCCACCTGGCCAGGAGGGGCCGCACGTAGGAGTGCATTGGGAAGTTGTGCAGGCGGGAGGTATAATGCAAGTCTGGGTCCTGCGTATGGATGCGCTTGACCTAGGATGCCCAGGTCAAGAGATGCAGGCTATTTGAATGTCTCAGGGATGGTTGGCCCTAAGACCAAGGGATTGAATTCCAGGCATGGGCTAGCTTTGATCTAACCCCAGGATCTGAATGAGACTAGGATTAGCAAGCCCCAGTCCGAGAGGTGTGGAAATGTGAGGTGAGCCTTCACACCTATGACCCCATTATCAGATAATATAGACTAGGTCTTGGGCCAGGAAGAACTGGTACATAAGGTGACAGTCAGACTAGCCCCACATGGGACACTCTGAGTGCCAAACACAGGCTGCTAAGCGTGTAAGCTATAGGACAAGTGACTTTCTGTCCCACAGGAAGAAGAGAAAAAAGGCAAGGGTCACTGGTGTTGGCCCTGGCAAAGAACTGGAAGGCCCCAGAAGCTGTGAAACATTTTCCATCCCTGCCTGTTACTCTGTCCTCATTGTGCTGAGGCAGATTGGGCACACAGCCTTGGACTGGCTTCCTGATAGGCAGACGTTCTGCAGACACGTGTGATGTCTGCACGCTGGCCAGGAGGCTGCATACCAGCATGGTTGTCAGACGCAGTGCTGAGTGATAATGGGTGAGCTGTGAGCCCTGCTGGTTTCAGCTCCTGCTTGGGTGGGGTGAGGCAGGAAGACAAGAATCAGACCAATTTAAATTCCCAGTGTCTCAAGCTGCATTTTCCTGGGGAAGTCACTTATGTCTTTGAGTCTTTGCTTTCTGTGTTGAAAGGGTATTCACAGAACCTACCTAATAGGACTGTTGTAAGAATTTAGAGACATGCATGATACCTGGTATGTAGAAAGCTCCCAATAGGTTTTAAACAGTATTAGTGTTACACAAAGCAAAATATAAGAAGGGAGTCCCCAGAAACAGGGACCTTGATGCCCTTGTATACTAAGAGACTGTTGAGAAATCCAGCATACACAGGAACAGTAGGAAAAGGCCCATCAGGGCATGGCCAGGTATCATGTTTAGTGACCCAGCTGGGCTGGATGAGTTGGTGTGTCCTTTTGGGAAGCAGGTGGGTTAGCAGTGGAGGAGTTGGGAAACAGGACCTCAGTGGATGCATAATGGAATAGAATTCATCTAGCTGGTAAAGTTTGGTGCCCAGAGAAGATAGGGGGCCAGTGACAGCTGAAGTATAAGTTAAATACTTATAGAGAGATCCAGTGCTTCATCCCTACTTTCCTGGGAACCTGGGAACTGCCCCTGCCTCACCCAGCATTGTCCCTTAGCTGCAGTGTTCATTCCACCCAGCTCTGCTGCGAAGCCCATGGGATGGTGTGGACACACAGCCTGGCTGGCCAGTTGTATCCTCTGCCCGGGAGTCAGTGGGGAATGTAAAGTGTGCCATTGAGACCAGGAGGACAGTGAGCCCAGGACGGCTATCTGGTCCTATGTGCTGGGACAAGCCATGGGATTGGAGGAACAGAGAGAAACACAATTAAAAAAAACCCTGGAGGAAGAGAAGAAGAGAGGACCCAGAAAGGATTCTGCCTTGCTTCCTGAAGGGCTTTCAGGCAGTTTCTGGTTTCTAGCCCTTGGGAGGTCCAGTTGTGTCCCTGCCCATGGCCCAGGCAGATACCACATGTCCTTATGTAACCAGCTTATTAAATGAGCTGGAATCAGTCAGGTGTAAAAGGAAACCAACCTTATTTTCTTCTAGTGTCTCTTGAGCCTGCTCTGTGGATGATTCTTTTTCCAGTCAAAACTGAGAACTCTTTGTGGTGTCAGATATGACAAAATCCTGTCCCTCTAACAACCCAGTCCCTTCTAACAATGCCACCTTGATTCCAGATAGTCTAGAGTCTTAAACTCCACCAGCCTTAGAGGCCAGGGAGGGCATAAGGTCTGCCTCTTCACAAGGTCCCAGGCAGGCCCTCTGCCTCCCTGACTGGCTGCTCATTGAATTCTGTGGCCCTTGAAATTCCAGCATCTTCTGCTTTGGGAGCTTGGGGCCTAGAGCCTTAGGATTGGGGTCCACAGCAAACAGAGGTGCCTGTGCTTACCCATGCCACACTCTGGGAGTGACAGTTACTCTGATGTTTCTCTCACCTGATGTGAGTTGAAAGGGACCCCTCCCCTCCCTGTGATGGTGGCGGACTTATAAGGGTATCTCATTCTTCTCCACCCTGGGATCCTCTCGCTGTTCTCCTACCCAGACTTAGGTGGTAATGCTGCAGAGCCAGTTTGGAGCCATCTCATTTGCAATGATGCCCTTTACTTTGCTCTGGAATGTGGACTCTTTGGTGTCTAATATTTTTTCCTTAGCCTTTAGGGTCTCAAGTAAAGCTGAGACAGAAAGAGTACCTTTTTATACCTGTTGCTCTTAAGATGTGCCCTTTTTGTATGACCTGGTAGCTGTAGTTCTCCTACTACTACCAGGTTCAGTAAGACTGAGATGTGTGAGGCACTCTGGAAAGCTGGGGAAGACCCCTCGGACTCCCAGGGTCTCTGGACTCCCATCACCCTTGCACTCAGTAATCGGAAAGTTTCTCTGTTAATCTTACTGAAATTGGCAAGGTTTGGGGCAGGGGGTTCACCACCACTTGCTTGGAGAACATCAGTGTCCAAGGTGTTCACCAAACCCAGGACACAGGGCCTTGGCCAGGGCAGGAGGAAGTTCAGGCTTTGTGACTTCCATATGGATGACAAATGTGCCCACCATGGGTAGCCCAAGATTAGTAGAACTCCTATGATTGTGTACTTTAAAAGGTGGCCAGGCATGGTATACGCACCTGTAATCCTAATACTTAGAAGGCCGAGGCAGGGCAATCACTATCAGTTGTAGGCCAACAAGGGCTATGTAAGCGAGTTCAAGCCAACCTGCACTACATAATGAGACCCTGCCTCAGAACAAACAAACCGAAAAAAGGTCACTGGCTGGGATGGAAGACAAGGATTGCAGTAGACCTGGCCTCATCAGAACCCAGGATGCTGGACTGGTTGTGTTTTCTGGTGAGGCAGCAGCCTTGAGCCCCAAGCTCAGTGCCCCGAGTTCTGTTTCCATCCCATCTCCTAAGCCTCTGTTCCACGCTGCTGCCCAGCAACCTGGCCTCGTCCTGTCTTTCTGGAGGGAGAATGGGCTCCACATTTCCAAGAGCCTCTTTCTTTCCATATAGCCAGGGTGTGGTTTGGATAAGTCTCAGCTTTGTGTACTGGGAATGGGGGTTGGGGAAAACACTGGGGCTGCTTCACAGTGTCCAGTTTGACTCAGAGCTCTCTACTTTGGGGCTTGGACCCAACACAGGTGACCAGCAAGGACTCCTGGGAAGCAGGTGGGAGCCACATGGGAGGGTGCACTGTGAACAGTTTGGGCAGATGCCCTGTGCTGAACTGCCTTTTGGTGTCACTTAAAGAGACTACAAGCTGGGAGCCTCAGGAAAGCACTATGAAATAGCAATGCACCGTGCAGGTACATCCACGTAGCACTGATGGCTTTTATTGCAGATTCATGTCATTACAAGGATAATCTGGGAATATACTTTTTAAAAAACCCTCCCTTTTATATACATGAAACATGCTACATGGTACACTTCTGAGAAATGCTGAGGTAACCGGCTCACACCCAGCCGTGGACAGTACCAAGTGCCCCGCACCTCGAAGGCCTGACCCACATGCCCACTGGGAGGGTCTCACCGTCCTGACTCATTTCTTGCCCCTGGCGTGGCAGTCATCCTGGCACCGTGGAGCCCAACAGGACTTAGGAAGCTGCCGAGCTGCAGAGCATCGACCAAAGGATCTGGAAGCCCGGTGATCCAGCAACTCTTGAGAAGCAGCCGGTTCTGTGTGTGGCCCCTGTCCTCCAGGAAAGTACAGTTCATCGATGAGGTGCAGGCTCTGATTTGCCTGTGGTGGGACCTCCAGTCCTTAGCCATCTTGGCGCATTAAGTTCCCTTTGGCTGAGTGCCTTTGGCAAGGTAGGCTGCTATTTGTGTGGAGGTTAAAATGAAGTAGAAGCTAAAGTATGAATGGAGCATACAAAGCTAAATACGTAATCTATGTGGTCGCTGCTGCAGCTTTCGGGCTGGCCTCCCCTTTTCCAGCCAGAACCCAAGTCTGAACTGTTTCCTTCTTAGAGGTGGAGGAATCTTGCCTAGAAAGGAGGTCTCTGTGGCGGAAAAGGTGGACGTGGGTAGGAAGCGAGAGATGCCGTGAACTACAGTGAGCAGCCAGGGGCAGAGGCGCAGCGGCTGCTGCACAGGGGGCACATGAGTGCACTGGGCGAAGGGACAGTAACAAGTCCTGAGAATGGGGAAGGGCATAAACAGAGGGAAGGGGATTTTGAAATTTGATTAGGTGCTCCCAGGGGTTCTTAGGAGAGGAACTCCTATTTGAGAGATGAGCCATGTAAACACTCCTGGAGGAATCCAGGCACACCAAGGCCAGGCCAAGGATCAGTCTTTGAATTGGTGCTACATGGCCTGTGACCTGCCTATGGGCTCAAGTCACACAGCACTAAGGAAGTGTTCCATTAGGATCAAAGCTGTTGCCACAGCTTCAACATCTGAGAATTGAAGAGAGTACATAACTAGGGTAGAGCATACTAGAGTGTGTCCTATAGCAAACCCACGTATATATGTGGACATAGCACAAGGGATGTGTATCTAAGTGCATACACATGAGGTATACACAGAAGTGCACCGGCGAGGCTCACGCACTGTGTATTGTAAGGATAGTCTGCGGTTGTGTTTTTATTGTAGAGACTTCATTTTTTTAAACAAAGTTACCGGCAGTCCTGTCCTGTTCTGGAGGCTTTCTGGTATGAAGAGAAGCAAGAGGGACAGAGAACACTGCTTGAGTTCTGTCCCATTATCTGGCACAGTGACTTGGGAAAACAAAATCCAGGGTTCTGGTCCTTCCAACGTAGAAAAGAACCAGTGAGGAGCTACTCATTGCGCCGGACCTGCGAGGCTGGGGAAGCTCCTGGTGATGGTCACACAAGGTCAGGCGGGGGACAGGTTTAATGGAAGGTGTTAGGGTTGGGCCGGATCATCATCACCACTTTCTTGAGCGAGTAGGACCCTCCTCGGAACTCAGCCCAGTAGACCCCATCCTGGTAGCGGCTCCGATAATGGCCCCCTCGGTACCAGACCCCGTTGAGGTTGGAGTGGGCACAGGCATTATACCACCAGCCTCCCTTCTGGTAGTGAGCACAGTTTCCTGCAGGAGACAAGAGAGTGAGGAGGAGTCTGGATGAGGTGCTGTGTGCAGCATCCCCGAACACTGTCTAGGAGGCCTTCGGAGCAAGAACACTGGAAAGATGGGCCCTCTGCAGCAGGGGTCTAAGCCAGGCTTTAGCACTGCTCAAACCTGCCTTAGAAGCTAGGTTTTCTAAGCATCTAGCTATGAGAGTGCAGACAGTGGCTGTACCTCTCCCCACCACTGCATTCTCATCTGTAAAAGGACAAAAGTAATGCCTATGCCATAGGCCCACCATGAGGATTAAATGAGGACCAGTGTTTAACTCTGAGCCCAGGCTTCTGCAGAGGAAACGGAAGTAGGCTGGAGTGCATGGGGCGAGTGAAAGGAGTTCTTCACAGGAATTAAGAGTTGAAAGAATTGGATCAAGTCTTTACAGAATGACAAAGGAAGTGTTTGAGAAGAAATGCCCTTTTCCTCCCCAGCCTATACTCCATCCAAGTAACTTCTTGTGTTATTTCATAAAAGAAGCCTATTTCCTAAAACTCTTGGCATTGTCACATCATGCTGAGCCTTGCTGCCAAGGACAAGCAGCTAAGAACAATGAGATGTGTGAGCGGTGTGCAGGGATGTCACTCCCCAGGCAGAGGAGGAAGAGGAGCCACCGTCAAGGGCTGTGTGGGGAAGCCTGGGAGGGGACCTCTTCCTCAGGGAGGGGCTGCCCCATCGAGCTGGGGCTTGAAGGGCTCGATGGAGCCAAGCCTGAGGTGTGGCATGGGGAGGTCACAGGCCATCTGCAGCCAAAAGCTGGAGAGCCTTGGCCCCAGGCACCCAGAACTAGCCATGACGCAAGGCCACAAGCACCATCTTCCAGGGGAGGCCCCTCTTGCACTGACCCCACACACTAGGGCCAGAAGCCCAGGTGAGAGTTTTAAGTCCTAGAATGCTCCTGTCCCTCCTCCCCATGGTGGCCCTCAAGAAGTTCTGTAGCAGCCACCATTGCATCCTATTCCAGGGTCTGAGAAGCACTGAGGGTACTCCTTTTACCCTGCTGTTCTAGAAGCCCCTCTGCTGCAGAGTGGGGGTCTGCTCCTCCACAGGTCCCTTCCAGCAGGGTCAGTTCAGTGTTAGTGAGTGACAGAGATATCTGTGTAGTATGAGGGTGGGTGGGCACATCCTACTTGTCCCCTGATGTTTCAGGAAGTGTCCATGAGAGTGTGGGAGTATAGTTGCCATGGAGACCTGGAGTGAGGCACCCCCACTCCAGTAAAGAGGTGTACTGTCCTTTCTGGGCAACACAGAGCTCACTCCTCCACAGTGGGTGGGACTTGCTCAGACTAGGAGGCTGGGCAGAAGGGGTCAGGCTCGCCCAACGAAGCAGACTCAGCCTTGGCCTGGGGGTGGGCCAGTCTCTGCTGGCCTGGCATTGCCAACATGTCCACCCATCACCAGAGGGCCCTGTGTCAGGAAATTTGTGTAGGCTCAGGAGACATCAATGTGGGTGAGGCGAGGCTGATGTCTGCACTCAGAGCCAGGATGTTTGTGCACCTTTTAATGTTCTGTGTTCTATCTTGTCTTCTTTTTATCTGATAAAGACTTCTTAGTAAACCTCCATGCTTGATGGATGATCTTGGAGAAATCCTTCATCTCTCCTATCTTGTTTCCTCTTAGTAGTTTCCTTACAGTGTTGCATTAACATTGCATGCTAATCGCAGTGAGTGACCAGAGCTCTCACTATTGCCCAGTCCTGGGCAAAACGCTTGTGGGGCTTTCTTTCTTACCTCCTCCCTGTGCTGCTCTCAGGTATTGCTCTTGCTTTCAGATGTGGAAACCCCCAGGGAAATTATGCAGTGGGCTGAGGACGTAGCTTCAGAGCTCAGAGTGTATGGCCTGGAGTCCACCGGTCCATATGCCTCAGAAGTGAGAAGGGCACAGTGTGGCACAGGAGTGACTGAGTTGGCTCGAGGTGGCCCCTGATGTGTGACTGGTACACATCTCTGCCTTTTCCTTTTTATAAAAGCTACTGTGACCCAACTGTGCAAAGGAGATCTGAAGGCAGTGGGCAGAGGAAGGGCCCTTCAAGGGCTTGGCAGATTGCCTTGGGCCTTCCTGTACCCACAGGCTGGAACCAGGGGCTCCAGCTTTGGCTGACCTCTTTTCACTACCCCAAACCTGGGTTAGATTCTCTTACCTGTGTAGACATCATGGTCTCTGTCGAGGGTAGTAAACTGCTTGCCATTGTGCCAGGTGAAGGAGTCACCTGCATTGCCGTGGTAGCGCCCCAGCCGCAGCTTGTAATACTCGCTCTCTGGCTCCACGCGGAAGCTGGCATATTCTGCAAAGACCTTGCGGCCGGACCAGTCCTCCATGGTCACGAGCAGTTTGTAGTTGCCTTGGTTGGTCAGCCAGTAGATGTTCTCCAGGCCCAGCCAGTACTCGCCATCAATGTTCCCAAACCCTTGCTGTGAAAGAGTGCAAGAGCATGACTGTAGAGCCTGCAGTGCCCAGGCCAGGGTTCTGCCTCCAGGGCCCACTCCATAGAACCATCCAAGAAGCAAGCAGAACCCAAGCAGGCCTGGCTCCATCCCCACGCCCTCCCTCACCTCATGGCTCTGGGACTTGAGGCCTCTTGGCTCATTTCCCTTTTCTGAGCCTCAATTCCATATCACTCAAACATGTAGGGCTACTGCAGGAGCGTGTGTGACATGGTCACTCAAGGCCTGGGACACAGAAGGCCTGTGGCTAGCATGTCTGGGTAGGGCCCTCAGCACCATGAGCCTCAGTTTCCTCCTCTGGGATATGCCCTGCCATCTCTACCACGCCTGATAAGTGTGAGCAGTTGACCGCTGGTCATAGCCACATGGGCTCCTTCAAGGTCTGAAACCCAGTGGTCTTATCTGCGCCTGCTTGCAGGTGCTTTAATCTGCTAAGCTACTTGGCTGGCCCCGCCTGCATGTCTTTATTGGCCCTCACGCCAACACAAGAGTGAGTCGCTGTCATCCTCCTAGAATGGATGAGCCAGGACTCAAGCTAACACATGCCTTGAGAGCTCTGCTGTGCCACTCCGCGAGAGATGAGGAGAGTCAAAGGGTCTCCAGGAGCCCACAAGTTAGGAGTGGAAGAGAAGCAAGCAGAGACACACTGGTTGGGGGGTGGGCTGGGGGAAGTCGGAAGGAAGGAGACCAAGAAGTGGGCCCGAGCAGGCCGGGTATGGCAGCCCCGTGGCTGAGGAGTTGGGCTTTGGCATTGGGGGCCTAAGCTGCAGGCGTTTCTTCGATGCATTACAGCTGTGCAGCCATGAGCAAGGGACCCCCTCTCCCCACCATCAGGTAGGACCATCCCCAAAGGCTGCTGTGCAGCTAAATGAGGTCGTGGCCAACAGCCTGGCATAATTTCTGCCACATAGCAGATGCCTAGAAACCTGAGCTGCTCAGGCCGACTTGGGCCATCTGTACTTAGAAGAGTGAGTGATGCATAGCTGATGCCTGGTAGCCTTTCCTACTAAAAGAATGAGCATTGCTGTGCCCTGGGAGCTGAGCAGCCCAGAGGATGGCCCAGCAGTTAGGACCAAGGGACTGCATTTCCCTTGGGGGCACTTTGCGGGAGTCTCCCAAGGCCTGGGAGCCTCAGAACATGCTTCTGGGCTTCAAGATCAGCAGCCTCAAGAGTAAGATGCTGCCCATGCTCCGGGTGCAGCGAGGGAGTCCCCGCTCCATCCTGTGAGACCTTGGTGGTCCACACTCTTAGCTGCTGTCTCGCAGTATGCACTTGCAAAATGCCCAGTCCTAGTCCTCAGCTTGGTGCTGGCCAGATACAGTACAGACAGCCCTGCTGGGTCTCACCTTGTATGTCTCCCAGTTCCTGAAGAAATTGACAGAGCCGTCCAGGCGCCTTTGGATGACGGTCCAGCCCCCAGGGTCGTGCCTCTGGTCGCACCACACCTGCATGAGGCGATTCGTGTTCTCAGGCTTAACCAGGTAAATGGAGCTGGTGTCGTGGCCATCCTCCAGGGCCTGCAGACAGTCTCTCCATGGGCCTGGGGATACAGGCATGTACATCACACACTGCCTGTCACCAGGCCACACCGCACTGTGCTTCCAAAGCATACACTTTGGAAGGGCTGCCATGCGTCTTCCAGCTCTTTCACTCATGGCCCCCAGCCATCCCCACAATCTGAGTGGGTCAGATCAGCAGGAACACACAGACTTGAGTCACCAGCATCCAGACAAGTGAGGTCTTTCTTACTGATCTGAGGAAGTTTCAGTAGGGTTTCAAAGTCTAGTCATTCAACCACATAGTTTTAAATAATAAAATCAGCACACTTTGCTTCAGTCTCTTCAAAATAATTCATTTCCAGATTGAGAATGGTTAAGATTAGTAATGTTAAGAAAATTCCATCTTGCTCTATTAATTTCTATATTCATTCAACAACTATTATGTTCCAGACCTCACAGGAATCCAACTGGGTACTGAAGGCCAGGGGGAGGATAAGGCTGCCCTGGTGGCCAGTGAAGGGGCCAGCCTCCCCAGGGCTTCCTCAGCCCCAGGCCCTGGGGAGTCCTGACTTCCCCGTGTGCTGGGGCACGTATTGATGGTGGCAGGCACACTGCGCTTTTCCTGCTGCATCCAGCTTCTCAGTCTCCCTACTGGCTGGTGGCTGGACTCTCGAAGTCCCTGGGTGATGGTTATAAAGCAAGGCCTGTCCTGAGCTCTTGTAGCCACCATCTGTGAGCACCCACAAGCCTGTGCGTCCCTGGGACCTGGGTCAGTTGATTGCGGGCTCCTCCTGTCATTCTCCAGGGGCTTCTTACCCACTTCCTCTTTCCCAAGCCTCTCCCCCACATAGGGGGTGGGCTCACTCCTTCCTTCCTTCTCTCCTGCCTCCTTTCCTAACCTCCTTCCCTCCCTGTTGCCCCCCGTGGCCCAAGGCCCCACTTAGGAGTTATCTTGGGGAAGGGAAGGCCTAGATCTCCAAGAACATTCAGGAAAGAGAAAAACCTTTTGGTTGTTTTGGCTTGCGCCCCAGAGACTGAAGCACAGAATGGGAGTCTGTCCCCGCCAGCTGGAGCAGAGCGCAGTGGGTGTAGGAGGCTCCTAGTTCTTCCTGAGGGCAGTAGCACAGGAGGGGCCACTTGATGGGAGTGCTCGTGACCCACGGTCTGGAGTAGCCTGCAAATGCACACCATTGAGAGCACCTCGCCAGGCTCTTGGGGGTTAGGAGATGGAAGGACTGCCCTAAAGGGACATATGGAGGCTTTAGAGGCAACTGGGAAGGTGGCAGGTCAGCCTGAGACTCAGCCTGCGCCGCCTCAGTGGGTACCATCAGTGGTTTCACTGTTGCCTTTGGCGTGCCTGCAGGGGCCTGTTTTCATTCTTTTTCTTCTTCTTTTTCTTCTTCTTTTTCTTCTTCTCCTTCTCCTTCTTCTTTTTTTTTTTGGTACTAGGAATTGAACTCAGGCCCTTCACTTGCCAGGCAGGCGCTGTGACACTGAGCTGTATCTCTGGCCCTCAAAAGGCTATTTTTAAAAAGCAAATGTTTCAAAATGGTTTGGAGAGTCCCATCTTCAGTGATGATAATAATAGCAGAATAGTAGCAGCAGCAGCAAGGTACTGAGCATTTGCTGCAGCAAGCCCTGCTGGGTGCTCCAGCCCCCATCCTCTGGCATCCCTGCGAGGTGGCAGTGGTCTGCACACTTCACTTTGCAGATTAGCAAAGTGGAGCCTGGGGACCTTGGGGGACAGTGTAAGGCCACAAGGCCAGAGGGGCTGGGAAAGCTGTGTGGTCTGTGTGGCCCAGAGCCCACCCTCTAGAGCGCTCTTCTTTTTCCCCAGCCAGAGCATACTTGAAGGTCAGGGGCCCGGATTTGGATCTCTGTGTCCTGAGGACTATTCCTTAAATTTTGACTCTTTCAATCTGCCACTCAGACAGGTTAAAAAAATTTATAATTCATCTTGCTCAAAATCTTTTTTAATTGTTATTGATAATTTTTCCTTGTGTCTGTCTAGTCTTGATGTTCTTTAGCCATTTTCCAGTTATTTTAGTATTTTGGGACTTGGACATTTTCTTTTTTCTCTTTTTTTTTGGGCAGGAGTCTAGTAATTCTCTAAGAATTTTGGACTCCTGCGCTAGATATAGACTAGTACTGAAGTGCTTAGCATTGCCTGCCGTTAGGGAAGCCTCTCCCGCATCCCTGCACTTCCCAAGGCTCCGGGACTCGGCCGCTTCCACCGAGAACCGTGTTTCCATTTTCCCTCTGAAGCCTTTGCAGACTTCTACCAAGTCTCCTGCATTCCAATGCATTTCCTTTTGTTACACTGAAGGTACTAGTGGGAAAGATAACACACGTAAACGGTGGATGAAAATTAGTCCAAGAAATAAGTTGCACTGAAAAATTGGCAGCTGGAAAACGATGGTGTGGCTGTATTGCTCTGGCTTAGTCTAAATGGGCTGCTTTGGTGAGAGGTCTCTAACTGTGACAAAAACAATGCCGTGTCCTTGTTACATACAGATAACCCCATAATGAAGGCTAGGTGTGGGCCCAACTTTGATTAAGGAGTCCGTGGCTGAGGAGGTTTGGCACCAGGGAAAGAACTCCTGGCATATGGAGTCAGGGGTCTTGGCTCAATCCTGGTTCCTCCCCCACAATAGGGTGACTTGGGGCAGATTCTTCTGTAAAATGAGAAAAGAACACTAGCTTTCCCAAGGATGCCCCCAGCACGGAGCACTTCCGAGTCTGGCCAGAGCAGGCGCTCTGCAAAACCACTCTTTGTTCCCTTGGATACATGGAGGCTGGTCTGTGGCAAGTTGTCCATCTTGTCCCCCAGCTGCTACTACTATTGGCTTTCAATTCCCAAGGCTAAATGTGAAGTTATTTACTAATAGATATGTTCCACAAGTTGTATTTTAAACGTCAAAATTTCTGTGAAGGCCACAGGATATACTAAACTAAAGAATGGAAATCTTTTTTGTCAACAAAGCTGGATTTTCAAGGTGCAGTGGGCAGAGTGCTTCCCTTGGCGTGGGCACGCACTGGGCAGTGTTTACTTTGGCTGTCCTTCTGACTGGCCGCTCTGCCCAGAGCACCAGGCCAACACTAACTCGGCAGCACCTAGGCCCAGAGCATCGTGAGCGCCCCAACCTCAGCTCCATAAAGACCACATTTACACCATGGCCGGCAGGTTCCACGTGAAGAGCAGTCACCATGGCGAGCTGAGACTGCGGTGCTCGGAGGGGCACCACAGGTGCAGGAAGTGCACAGGACTGGGCACTGGGAGAGTGGGGCAAGGTTCTGGCCCTTAGAAGTAGAAAATGTGCAGTGCTCAGAACGGACCCAGAGCCCGTTCTGGGAAGTGTTGGCGGTGATCTGGGAGGGTGTCCAGGCCTTCACCCACTCCCTGCTCCCTGGGGTCTTAATGGAAGCATCAAGTACACAGGGCACACGGCCTCCCAGGACACCATGGACCACCTTCTGGATAGCCTCCGGATGGGGCCTTTCTGTTAAAGCTGAGGGGGGCCAGTAGCCAGATAGGACTTCCTCTTCTGTTTCCTCTCTTGGGTTTTGGTCAGCTCCTGCCTCCCCCCAGACTCAGTGTTGAAGTGGGCTCACAGAGTGCAGCAGCTTTCAGTCCACCTCCTAGAGCCCCAAAAGGTAGCTTGGTGAATGCCTCACCAAGCCAACTGCAGCTCCTCGGAGGCTGGGGAGTGGGAAGATGGAAGTGGGCCTTCAGTGGGCAGCAGGCCTCTGCCCTGGCTGTGCTCCTGGAGCTGGGGTGGGGAGCAGAGACAGCTGACAGGCTCTGCATCCTTTAAGCCTAGTCCCGGGCGTCAGGACCCCGCTGCCTTAGGCTGTGTGGAGGTACCTGTGGCCTGAGTGTCCTGGAAAGCTGCACCTGCAGAACCGTGTGGCCTTCTTGAGCGCTCCCACTAATGATCTGCCTTTAAAAGTTGTTTTCACTGCTCCAAGAAACATTTTTCTAACAGAAGTGACTAGTCATTAAAAATTGGATCTGGTGTTTCCTACTGAAATTTATCCATCTGAGTGCCAGAGCGTGTAGACTGCTGACGGGTACACCCACCCCCAGCAGCATCAGGACAGACCCTGGATCTGAGAGGAGGGGTCCACGGGCTGGGTGCGCGAGGACCTGTCATGCTGATCTCCAGTCTCTGTTATCCACAGCGTGGTAAATTAATAATGTCACTGTGGCTGCGTGTCTTCTGTAGCTGTCACTCTGCGGAGTATGAAGCCATGGCCTAAGCACAGGAGTGCTTTGCACGTTCAGGAAGCCACCGCTGGCCTCTGCAGAGCCTTGGAGTCCACATGAACAGCCAGTCTTTCCAGGGAGAGAGCCAAAAGACTCCTGCCCGTTCTGCAAGCCGCTTTCTCGCTCTGGCGGCAGGTGCAGCGCTTGGGGTCAGCCAGCTTTCAGGAGTTTATGAAAATGTCTGAGGCCTCCGTAAAACTTACTGGCTCTAAAATATGAACAGAAAACTACAAAATTGGAATTTATTGGTGTATAAATAAATTTCTACAAAGTGTAACATCTTGTCAAATTCATTAATTGTTAAATTTAGCCTTCATAAAAATACTGTTACTTTTGCAAAGTGTGTAGGTTAGATTTTTCTTACTCCTCAGGAATTCTAGAATACCTGATGTTTGCTGAGAAATCATAGCCAAGCATAAATTGAGTTACTCTTAGGCAAAAAACTTCAAAAGCAAAATTATTAAAATCCTAACTGTACAGTAAAAATTATATTGGATGATTGTATTTTGGTGTACTTGATAAAATTTGAGGCCTCCCATGAGCTTTTACGACCCATGAAGGCCTCAGGAGGGGTCCTGTTTGTGCTATTTGACTTCAGGATACAGATGCTGGAGTGTCACTTTGCAGAGGACACTCTGAAAAGCATGTGTGCCCCATGCTGTCTCTAGCAGTGCAGCCGTGCAGAAGAAACAATTTAAGAAAGAGCCTTAAAAAAAAAAAAGGAAGAGCTGGGTGTGGTGGCACATACCTTATATGCCCAGCACATGGGAGGCT